AAATTTTAGAGCCATAAGGGTGTGATGACTTAGTGAAGTAGTTAAGTTGTTATATCCCTAAGTAATATATTGGCAAAGTAAGGGGTTTGAAATCTACTGGTAATGAATTTCAAATATTTTATTTGTACAACAGCTATTATCTTTTAACAATTAGTTAGAATGAGGTCTCTGTAATTTTGGTAAATCAACAAGAATAGAAGATCTTTAGATATTTATACAATATATAAGTTATACAAAGGTTTGTAAAAAGTTTTTGCAAATTCTAGATAAGTCAAACTAATAATCATATAAATCTAAAAAACTAGAAAAATAAAGCTTGCTTGACAAGACCCAAGTAAAGAGATAATACAAAATTTTGATAGTAGCTATCAGAATAGACTATACTCGAGGCCAATTAACTAGACGAGACAAGAGCATTAGCAAGTTGTTTCATCAACTAGACCATTAGAGCATTGACTAGAGAAAAAAAATCAACAAATATCATAGGACTAATATCTCTTTCGGGTTATCTAAATTGGTAGTCTGGAAAAACAGGTTAGAGAAAATTTTTGAGACAGGTCCAAAATACTAGATAGTCTTGAAGAGAAGGTATTGGAGTTTAGGTAAACTCTACAAAAACAGAAATAGATAATAGTAGTAGCTTCAGTTTGCAAATATTTGTTTTTAGACTTAATATAAATTACTAAAGTTTAGGTTAGCTGAAATGTGAGTACAGAAAACTCTAGTAGGTTTACCTCGAGGATAAAGGGCTCTCTAAAATAGTTGAAATCTATTTAAAATCCTAAGCCAGATATCTAAAAATAAAGAGCACAAATTGTATTCTTACTCGATTATAAAGGTTAACTCCAAGAGTTTAAATAGATAACCCTCTAATTGGGTTGTAGGTATGGCATTTAGTGTAAAACTTGGTAATAAGTAGACTACTTAAATAGACAATCAAAAGTTGTACATATGGCTAGTAAATATGTATACTATATAGGCTTTAAAAGAAGTCTAGTATATAGTAAAATTAACTAATAACTGAATAAAAAGAAATAGCCAAGAAGTCACTTTAATATCAAAAAAAAATTTTAGAGACATATAGACAATACCATATATTTCTAAAAACAAGCTATATCCAATAATAGCTACTTTTCTTTTTTGGAAGAAAAATATAAAAACATTTTATATCTAAAAATAAGCTACTTAATGATTATTAGTAGTTACTCTATAGTAAAGTCAAATTTTTACTAAGTAAATTGATATAGCCTATTAAGTAAAAGTTATTCATAAGATCAAACTATATATATTTTAAAAGTTTTATCAAAATTGAATAACTTTTTATTAATACGTTTTTGCATATTATGTTTGATAAATTTTTAAAATTTTGTTAAAATTTCTTTAAAATTTATATTTATCAAATGTAAAAATCAAAAATCAATTAATAAAAAATTATTCAATTAATATAAAACTTTTAAAATATATATATTTTAATTTTTTGAACAACTTTTACTTAATATATATAATCAATTTACTTAATAAAATTTTTTGTAATTGGCAAAAATACTTTTATTTAATAATAAGCCTTTTGCAAAATTTTTGTATAACTTTTTGGCCAAAAATAGAGACATCTAAAGTAGGAGCAACTCGTATTTTTTAATAATTTTTTAATTAACTTTAGAGTTAGAGTTATCTTATATTAAGGTTAGATTAGATTTTATATAAGCAAAATTGTTTTTCTGATATTTTAACTAAATCTATTTGAGATAGGTTTAGACTGCTATTTTTTCTATTTTTTAGATTTTCTTGCTTTGCTTCGCTAACAATCATCAAAATTCTATAACTTGATTGGCTATGATCATATGAAATTGCTCTTACTTTAGATAATCCCCAAAAATAATAGCTTATTTTCAGATATATATGATATATTAAGAGTATTTTTAAAATTGGTCAGAAAATACTCTTGTGCTGAATATTGATAACTATTATAATATTCATATTTAATAGCAATCTGATACTACCAGTATGTCATAAACAGTACATATAGCAATGATTATGACAAATTTATATTTCATATTAGCTATACTATATAATAGAACAATAAATCTAAAAATTGTTAATGATAAGCTAATTGTAAAGTATCTTGATAAATGATTTATAAAAATTTTTGAGAATTCTTATTATGATTGTAAACAATATTATACTAACAAATATTCTGACAATAAGTTTATAAAAAAACTAACAATATATAGTTATAATAACAGATTAAAGAAAAAAAGAGTGATTAACATATATGAAATTTCATACTTTTTGATTTTACTGAAAGTAGTTTGAAAAGTGTAGAAGATTATACAAAAGCTTTTCAGATAGTATATAACCAAAAACTATAGAAGAATATCTTTTTAATTACATAGTTCTAATTATTGCAGATTGGCTTAAGCAATTTTTATTTATAAAACAATTACATACTAGCTTATTTTTAATAATAAAATTATTTTCTATTCGTTATAGCATTTTTGTCTATAATAGAACTACTATATATTTTTTTGAATAGTTATAAACTCATCTTTGTGAAAAATTTAACTTTATTTAATGATATATATAAAGGTATATTTGAAGAAAAGAAGAAACTTAGTAAGAAGTCATAGCTATGATGAATCAACTTAATTTTTTATATAATATGTATAGTATAGCTTGATATAGCTAATTTTATATATTTAAAGTTTGGTTATACTTGTAAAAATATATTCAATCAACTTTTTGAGCAATTTAATTTCTTTAGTTCTCAATATTTATATAATATATTATCAGAAAAGTAATTAGCCAATATACAAAAAAGCTTGTATATATTGCTAGAGTAATCTGTTTCTTAGATTTGATCAAAAGAATTATAAATATGTATCTTTAATATTTTTTTATGATATATTTTATTAGATAAAAACTAATTATTAAATATTTAATATTATTACTAATCATTTTACTTCTCTAAGTAATTGTTTCATAGAATTGTTTATAGTATAATATGATTGTATACAACTAAGGTTTCTGAAACAAATCAGTTACAAAAAGAAGTATATTTTATTTTTTAATATTAGAAAGATAACAACTTTTAATAATACTTTGTAAATTCAATAAAATATCTATAGGATAAATCTGGATTCTGCACTTCTTCATAATACTTAAATCTCACTTTCGGGATGCAATAGACTTACACATCGCATATATTGCTTATAACAAAAAAATTATTTTTGTTATAGTTTTATATTTTATCTAGTCTCGATTCTAATGCTACATAAATCATAACTAGAATTATTATAAATTAAAACCTTATTTGTTAAAAAAATAAATATAATATTTCACACATTAACGAACGCAATAACTAAATAAAAACTAGACACTCTTTAAATAGCAATAGACTAGAGATTTACACATTTACGTTTATCATAAACCCAATTGCATATGTCATGTAATTGTTACTCTAGTCTCTAACCTTAAAAATTGACTGCTCAATATATGATCTACATGCTATATAAGTTGTATTATTGATATTTATATAATTTGCTAACTATAACTGCATTAAAAAGATAACCCTAAACCTCGCTTTGCTTTAACTGACCTGCCAAAACTGGTTAATACAATACATATAATTTTGATCAATAAATAATTACAGCAGATCAATTGGATATTACTCTAATTTCTACTAATATTAAATTTATTACTTTAAGAACCTAAAAGATCGATTTACAAGAGAATATGCTACTGATTAACTACCTCTATCTTTTTCGTTATTATCCTTATTTTTGTGAAAAGCCGTATTGTGATCTACTTTATTGCAAATGTGACATTTATAAGACCCTCTACTTTTAGATTTACACAAGAACCTTGTTCTTTTTTAATGCTGCTGATATACTTTTGCTTGGATAGTTATTCTTTAGTAATAATTTTGTTCAAATTCTTTACATCATTAAAGTTTGTCTCAGTTTTAGATTCCTCTGATTGATCACTAGTTTCATTAGTTTCATTTGTCTAAATTTCTAAAGAATTATCAGATACTTCATCATTTACAGGTCTTTCATATACATTGTAATGATTATTGTTATGGTTACGGTCGATATAGGCTTGAAGATAAGCAACAATTCTATTATTATCTTGTTCAACTGCAAGTAATATAGCTTCTCATACTAGTCCCCATACATGGCTGTACAAATTTCTTTTGCGAATAGATTTTTTAACTGTTAGGACAGTTGATGGAACCGTAGCAGATTTTTGTATTGGTAAGATTTTTTTGTCATTAAAAATACCTATTTTATAACTAAATATAGTATTTTCTTTTTTTGAGATTGACCCATCTTGGTGATGATCTTTATACTATTTCTGAGATATCATACTAATGTAAAACACTGCGATTTTTGAGTGCATCATTATGTGAAAATAGTAGCAACATATAATTCCTTTTGAGATGGATATTAGGCATGAGTATAGGAAAGATACTGTATTAATAATAACAACAAAATGTATATAATATCTTTTTTTACTTTGCATGTCCGTAATTTTCCATATTTCTAACACTTTATCCTGCCCCACTTCATCAATAATTGCCTAGAGCATAATGAGAGTGTATCATTTTTGTCTTTGATAAATCTGTCAAATTCTAGTTGAGTATTTTTCTTTGTAATATAGAATATACTATTAGTTAACTTGGATTCTAATTTAATATTGTATACCATTACCTGTTCACTATATAACTCTTCAATACTAGGTTCGATCTTGTTGGCACTAATAAATAAGTACTGAAACATTTCTATTTTAATTGCATTGGCAATAGGTTCAGTGAGATACTCGTTAATAATCTTTACTATTTCAGGAAACAAATCTTGCCCAAGAATAGAAATAGTATTAGTCGTAATAGCTTGTTTGTAATTATTAAACTAGCTTCAATGTATTTCTTCTTTTAATCTTGCATTAAATCGATCTGCAAGCTCACATAGTATACTGTTTGCTTTTAACTGTTGCTTGATTACCTAATTATAACTTTCAACTCTTGCTGTACTTTCAATACCTGTTATGAATATTCTGTAAAGATAAGCTCGAGCCCATAAACGACTCCTCAGATCCAATACACGTAAAAGATAATCTTTAGCTACTAGAAAATTGTTGAGTAGTTTATTCTATCTTTCTTTAAATAATGGTTTATATAAGCTATTATGATATTTATAAAACTGTTTAATAAAGCTATCCCAATTAACACCCAACTTCGCCTTTAGATTTTTAAGTAAGTTCTGCACAATATGAAAAATGCAGTATACCAAATATGTTTTAGGAAAAACAATTAGAATTGCAGTATCAAGTGCAGGATCTCTATCGATAAACATAACAATCGGGGCTTTTTCTACAGCTTTCTTAATATGCTCAAGTATCCAAATATGCGTATCAATGGTTTTATTGCTTATCAATACTTAGCAGATAAGATGAGTTTTACAATTGTTGTCAATTACTATAAAAATTTTAAGTGGCATTTGATATTAGTTAGTTCAGGATATGTTATCATTAACAACAATATCATAATATCTTAGCCAAAGATCATCCTGGTCTGAAGATGTCTAAAGAAAATAAATTAGACAATTATTTTAATCTAGCTCAAAATCAATAACCTAATGCAGATCCTCTAATTTTTTTTGCATCAAAAAAGTAAATAAAGCTGATGCATCATTACTAATTTTAGTTATATTTTTTATTTTTTGAATTGTATTTGCTAAATCTTGATCTTAAAAATTTAGGTCCAGAAATCGAGCCTTTAGAAAACTTTTTTGTACCATTAGTGACAAATTACTATGTCTTGTTATTATATTTATTTTATCAAGAGCCTCTTTAGATAATGTTTTATATTTTACTCCAAAATTCTGGGTTTCAGGAACAAGGGTATGATTATGTTGATTGACAAATGTTGTAACTGAAATTTGCGTAGCTTGTTCCAGAATAGATAAATTAATATACTACTAACAATTTGTCTTCTTAGTTTTCGTATTTCGCTATGTTCTGTTTAAAGCAGCCTTGATTGTTTTTTTAGATTTGTACTTCTCGCCGAATTCACATACGAAGGTTCTTTTATGAATTTGGCCTAAGATATTTCGCTCCATCTGATATTTAGTAACTGCAAACCTATTTCTTGCTCCGTATTCATTAAAATAGTCTTCTACTTCATCCCACATATTAAAATGAATATCTTTAGGAATTTCCTCTGAAGCAACCATAAGTGAACTTATCGATTTTAGTTCATTAGTTTATATATGTCAGCTTGTATATGTATATCACTAGAAGAAAACTAGACCCAGATTCCTGAGTTTATTAATCATCTATATTTGCTAACAAAACTTTTGTGATTTGGGTTTTGGGATACAAGTAGGATTGCTAATAGTTGGGGTTTGAAATACAAGTAGAGTTTCTAATAGGTTAGATTGGGTTGATTTCCAATCTTCTTCATTAAATCTTGATCTAGATTCTATTCTAGATTGCTCAAAGTCTGCTTTGGGTTGCTTTTGGTTGCTCCAAATTTATAAATATAATTTCAATTTGGGTTGGGTCCAACCTGAAGCGATTTCGGAGTAGATAAAATATAGTATAGATAGCACCTACTTTAAATTAATTGATTATTTATTAAGGTGTTATCTATATTATATTTTATTCTACTCAGAGTATATTATACTATTATAATCTTGCTAGCAAATATAGTTACACAGCACACATTGTCAATTAGACTTTCCAGAAGCCAATTTGGTAAGTTACAAGGTCTGGTTTAATTTAATAGCTCTCATTTCAGGTACTTACTCTTTCCATTATCTTCATTATTATTTTTTATTTGTATTTCGTGAGTATCATTTAACTTAAGATTATTATTTTTGAATATAACTAGGTTATTTACTGGTAAGTTTCAATCAATGATGTAAATAAGTTTGATTTCATAAAACTTACGATATTTGTCTATTAAGTTACTTATATCACCTTCGAGAAGGTCAATTGGGTTTGCTTCAGAAAGTCTTAGATTGTGTTTCATTTAATGCTTTATAGTTTGTTAGTTTTTTTTATTAATTTGCATTTTGATACGATTTGTGATTTATTTGTTTTACAATTCAATTTTATATTGAGATTTTTTAATAAATAGTTTAAGGAATGTGATACCATTATATCTTGCTTTATTAATAAATAATTTAAAGAATGTGATGCTATTATATCTTGTTTTATTCCATATATGTAAATAATGTATTTTTGGCCAATTGAATTTTACATTAATATGCAATGCTAGATTTAATTGCTTCACGCCCTGTACATTAATATACAATACTAGATTTAATTGTTCTGCATCCTGCTAGATAAACATTTATTCATATCTATATATCAAAGTAGTTAAATATGCTTTCCCAAAAGTATACCAAAGTATTTTTGAAGTTATTCATGAAAATATATCAAGAGCATCATCTATATCCTTTAATTAATTTTTTAATAATATTTATTTTTGTAAGTTGTTTCTTTAGACTATGAAATAACAAACTATTATCTTTTAAAAGGTTTTGTTATCTCTAGAAAACTATTTATAAGTATATTATTCGATTACTTGTATTGTGATTGTATAAACTACAATAACTGTACTGATAAAGCCAAAGTTTTTGTATAGATATAGTTATTACAATTATTGTTTAAAAAAGTATTAATTTAAGTATATAATATATTTTAATGATTTTCGAAATGAAGTTAAAAAGAATATTAATATACTGAAGATAAGAATAATAAAAAACTATATGAAAAAGAATTTGCTAATAAAAGAACTAAAAGTATAGTTGAAGATAATTTGGGTGATATCAAGATAGCAATAGATAATATAACAAATATAAGCTAGTGTATTATTTCTACCAGTTTCAGTATCACATAATATTTATAATAAATATAGCAAATTCATTAAAGCAAACAAAATAAATATTTTTCAAGTTGTAATTTTTTTATTAAATAAATAAAGATTTTACTAAAAATATAATATTTATTTAATATTAAAAATATTATCGTATATTACTATAATATATTTATTATATAATTAAATATATATGATTTTATTAAGATATTAGATAGCAATTTTATTAATAATAAAATTAATAAATTTTAATATTTATAAATATTAAGATTTGATTAGATTAAAGACATCATGCAAGGTCTGAATATTATATAATTTTAATTTTCTAATTTAGCAGTTTTTCTTCTAAAGATATTTCAATTTTTGAAATAGACCTGAACTAATACTATCTAATCAGATCTAATAGATATTCATATAGAAAGATTTATATAATAAAGTTAAAATCTATTATTACAAAATAATTCTAAATCGATATAACTCTTCTTGATAATTCCTTAATTAACAACAAAACAAACTGAACTACAGTAAAAGTTATAGAAAAGTAACAAATTGGATACTTGATACTTTTGTTATATATTTATATATTTGCTGTTGACAAAGCTTATTGTCAAGTTTACTATCTAAGAAATATTAAAAGCAGGTCCAGTATCTTGGGTCAAGCTTCTTTTTTACAGACTATTGTCAACAAAGTTCTTAAACATAATATACCAAGATGTAGGTATTGTAGATGATTTGTACAGAAATCAAGTCTTTTGTTAAAAAGTAGATTTCTTTATACGTTTAGCATCCAAACCAAAAAAGTTTCTGGAAATAGCAAGAAGGAAAAAAGTGAACTCTCTCATATCTTCAATATCCAAACCAAAAGGTTATTTTGAGAACAATGTTACTATTGGATTCTTGTGCAAGAATATCAAATAGAAACAGAGAAACTAGACTATACTACTATAACTCTTACAAGAAGAACCTCATATACTCTTGTTGGCCCATCACTTTTTTCAAAAAAAATTTTGTAAAAGTGGGCATTTCAGTTTACCTCTCCAAAAAATTGACATCATATATATCAAGACACATACCTTGAATATAACAATCTAATTAAACAATTTGGATCGAGTTTTGACCCTCTACTATTATGGCCAAAGAAGTATTTTTCTACTAGTTTTGAGTTTTCATATACTATTTAGATAAATTTAAAGTAAGGACTAGTTTATTTAGTAGTATGTAATTTTTACAAGCTTTTTACAAGCTCATAATAGTAATCATTAGGATAGACAAATTATCCTCTTACTCCTTTTCTTTCTTATTTGTATCTTTTATCGTATTTCTTTTTACTTCTGTATTTTTTTTTTTGTTTTTGTGTTTGTGCTTTTGTTAATTTGACTCTTTTGATAAAGTATACAGCTACTAGAACTAAGAATCAGAGGATTTAAATCCTCAGTGAGTTGAGAATCCAATGTGAAACTAATTGCTATTAGGTGGGTTGTTTTCTAAGCTTTGCTCAAGTTGATCTTTACTTGTATTGAATATAGTATAAAAAATTGTATCCTTCTATTGATATGAGTTTTGGTACTTTCAATAAAAATAAGTAATAGGCAGGACTGTTGAATTAAAAAAAAATAATAATAATTATAAATTTAGAGTCTATTGTATAATTGATGATATAAGTATATATAAAAATAAATAAACAGAAAGTTTAATTCTAAATATTAAATTTTACTTTCTAATCTTTAAGTAAAGTAATCATAGTAATTTAAATAAAATAGCCATAGTAATATTGTTGTGCTTGTATAATAGAAAAAGGAAGATATTGTTAAAGAAGACTTAGTGCAAAGAAAGCAAGAATTAAAATGAATATACAAAACTTGTAAAGCTCTTTGAGTATATAGAATACTTATTTTTAACAATAATCTCAAAATATTTTTTTTATAAATTTTATAATTTAATGTATATGTGTTGTGACTAAAGGTCTGCAAATACCAATACTGGACATATAGGCTTATACCAGGTACTAAGTGCTTCATGCTATGCCTATGCTTATAGGCATAAAATCTAGACACTATTGTAGGCATGGGCACAAAGTACTGGGCACTATTAAAGGTATAGGTACAAAGTGCTGGACACTAGCAAAGGCATGAGCACAAAGTACTAAGCACAAGATGCCAAGCACAAGTGCCGGGCAAAGTACCAGGCATAATTAAATAATAAATACTAAATTTCTGTACCTATGCCCATGCCTATACCAAGTTTTTTGTACTATGCCTATATCTATGCCAATTTTTTATGTCTATATTCATGCCTATAGCATGACTAAAGTTCTACTTATGCATAAAGATTACACAAAAATTATTATATAGAGAATATATAAAAGCATATAAAATTAGTATCAC